TCTACCTATACATGTTTTTTTTCTTTTTCTTTCCTATTGACTAATAGTGGAACGGAAGATAAAAACATTTAACCTTATCGTCCAGTATTACCGTCTTGTCTTTCCGTTCCACTATTAGTAAATAGAAAAGAAAAAGAGGAAAAAACATGTATAGGCAGATCAGCAAATATAAATGTAAAATTCCATTTTACCTTTTACAGTAAATTTAAACTGAAGAACGAGACAGTAGATCTCCGAAACGTTTTTATTATAATCAATTAATTAATAAATAATATTCTTATAATCGAACTCATTAATAATTATGCAGGAAGAGAAATAATTAACTAATTTATCATTATAATGACCTTTCTCAATGTTTCAAATTCTTTCTATCGAAATAATTGAAAGCAATTCTCATCAAACAAAATAAAGTGTTTTTTGGAAATAGTTTGAGTAAATGCAAGTATTCGTAGAAAAAAGTAAATGTATCCTAAGTTTGAGAAAGCATTTCAAATTTTTGTTTGAAAGCTCTTGTCTAGTGCCTGCTTTTGTTCAAGATGTAGATACTTGGATATTTTCTGAGATTTTTTGAAGCACTTTCGTCTGTCTCGATCCAGATTAGTATCCTTATTATATTTTTTTAATCGAAGTTTGGATAATTCATAGATTCTTACAAAAATGAATGTCTTTTGCTACCTGTAACAACAGAAGAAATCTATAAAAACTGTCAAACTGGATAAATAAATATAATCCACCGAAATGTAATTGGTCAAAAAATAGACGTCTACAGCAACTCTTTAGAGTACATAACTGTCGAAAGATCTAAGAAAACTTATATGGTTTGCATTGAGTAACCTCTGATGTTTAGAAAACTTGCTAAGAACTGAACAACTGTTTTATACAAAGTTTATTTATATCTCGCTTCGATTAATAGCAAAATGTTAAACTTTCAATTCCGCTAAAAAAATTTATTTTTTGCAATTTCATAATAGTCAGTATTTTTTGAATCGTGCAGTTCGAGCTAGAGAGAAATAAATGCAATTTGCATTTGTAATACATCTAAATATTCTCTATCTACAATAAAAATATAAAAGACGTGACGCTTTCAATTGTCAAAAATAGATGATACCATGTAAAAAAAATGAAATTTCATGACGCTTGGCCACGCCGACGTACTAAACAAGGTTGCAGCTTTTCGTTTTGGTCTCCAGTTACGAGTATTAGAATTCTCGTTGCTAAAAATGTCGTATTCAAGGAACGAATGCACATCCCAAACTGCGTTTCCTAGTATTTTTTATATGCAGTCAGATGTTCATAAAATTCTTCTATCTTTTTATGAGAGGCTATTATGCGCTTAAAGTTCATAGGAACGAAACACGTAAGTGATATCTGTAGTTTCCGGAAGTGAAGATACAAAAAAAACATGAAAAGAACTTTGTCATAATTAACTTTTATGTGCTTCAAATGTTCACTAACTATGCTCTAATAGAAAAAGCACAAAGCTATTCAGTCAAAATTCGAGATGAGCACAGAATTGCGGTCATAGTTAATAGTTTTTGACTCATCTGAAATACATTCAGGTGACTCAAAAATGAAGCAATATTTCATCTTATAACCTTTGGCTTACCTATTATCACGAAGCAACATCACAAAAACTGGAAAATAAAAATCTGAACAAGTAGAATTGTCAAGATATGGGTTGGTGGTACACGGGTAAGAAGAAAATATTCATCCACCCACCATATCAATCATTGTCCGAAAACTAATACTATAATATGAGTGTTTCGACATTATCGAGGGATGAACAAAATAGCCTGAAGCTTCGTTGATGAGTGAGGGCCTTCTCTTTATCACAACATTCATCAATCTACTCTAAAATTTAGAATATCTCCTATGAAATGATGGTAAGCTCATGTGAATCGCTTGAACCATTGAATGATACTCAGATTTGGTGTTCCGATGGAGTTCTAGAAGGTCCATTGTTTCCTTTTGAGCTCCGCCAGCGAGTACTCATCAAAACGAAAACTACTAATAGTGGAATAAAATAAATCATTGCCAATACTACTAATTATCACTTTGGAATAGTCGTATTCACAACGGAATGTCATGATGAAGCTTAATTCTGAAATTTATCGACAAGTGATCGAATTAGAAATGAATATGTTGCTGAGTTCCTGCTTGATCAAATCGATTTAAAGTCAAACTATATCAATTATCGGTATTATTCACACTAGGCTACCTGAGTAGTACGATATCGGTAACGAAAGTACCAAGTGAACAGAGAAAGCAATCGATACAGATCTGGGATTATCATTTGTACGCTGGAAACAAATTATTTAGAAAATGCTTGGTTTTTTTCTACCAAATTCGTGTTCTTTTTCGGCATGTTTATCTGAAGAGGCTTGGCTCTCTTTTACAATATACAAAAAGAGTATCCGCACTTTTAGCCAATTGTCGATTCACATGCAAAGTGAATATCTTCTGTTTATTAGAAAATTCAATGATTCTTTCACGTATGCGACTCATTCAATAGTCAATTATATCAGAGTGTTTATATTACTCTTCGATGATTTAGTCGATTCAACTTTGCCAATCGTAAAACGTCGTCCTGCTCGAATCAATACCTCATCCTCGTGTGAATATGTTGATAAAGTAGAGATTGCTCGTGCTGCATCAGAAGCCGTCTCTCGAATGTCAATAATGAACAAGATTGTCGATCCACAGAATGATTTGGCTACTTGTCATTGTTGACTTGTCGATGCTAAATCGAGCCACGAACGGATGTTTCCCAAGGCTCACTTATACTCGATCACCATTACAGGCGTCTGTTCAACACTACGATAGACATGACCTGTGAAGTGAAGATTTTGAAATTCTGAAGCAAAATTGAATTGAAAATATATATATGACAGAGAGGACCTCGAGTATCCACCTTAGATAAATCATTATCACGTAAAGTAGCATTCACAAGACGATAGACAAAACTGTCCATTGTGTTGAGACGTATACATACTCGACAAATACTTTCAAAAGATTCACTGGTAGCAAGTATCCTGTGGTCAGCGATCCATTGAGCTTCCTCTGCATGACCTATTGCTTTATCTTCTAGTCGAATTTCTTCAAGTGCTTGACGCATGATTTCATCATATGAAAGTGATTCAAGATTCGAACACCTAATAAAAAAGATCAATTCGAATCTTTCAAACAATATGAATATCTCAACAAACTTCATTTGCCATTCGAAGACAAATTGCGATCCATTCCAATTGTCAATGCCCAATGATTGACTTGAATTCGCATTTTCCAGCATTTTTGATGCCGAAGAAAGATGATAATTTCGTCGCGTACGATTTCTGCAAGTTTTGGCATCATCACAATCAATTGATAATCGTCTGATTTCTGCTAGTTTCTCGTGTTTTCTTCTTATTAACATTCATTTGTACACTTTGCTTTAGATCAATAGTCACATTGTTTTCGAGTTCGATAGACTTCCGCCACGATTGTATATATTTTCGATAATTGCACTTTCAATGTCTGAATAAGTGTGCTAGTCGTCATGGCGGGACTGTCTTCATTGCCACATTCTTTTTTGAATAATTACAGGTAGTTTTCCTACTGTCTTTCGAATCTGCAAAGAAAATAGCGAAGGTAATTGAAGTAAATTTATCAGATAGAAAATCCCCTGTCAGATTATTGTAAAATCGAGATCAACTTAACAATTTTGAGTCTCATTTGTAATTTTTATTTCGGTTCAATATTTTGGTTTTTAGTTAAGATTAAAAAAAAGTACAAGGAAAAATCGAAGAGATCTGCTCGTCACACACAAGCAAACGATCAATGCTCGGGACCGCATTGACTAATTCTTCTCTCGGTCCAGAAAGAACGAGATCAGCTCTGTGGTTGGTTCTCCATACGCCTATCGTGGACTAAAGCTATCAAAATGTGAATCGCTCTTCTCTGACAGATGTATTTATGTGTGCCATTTTGATCAAATTAACCCGCACGCTGCCCTGTTCTTCGTCTCCATATGATAAAAAACAAGATAACAAATGATTTGTAAGAAAGTGAATATTTTTTAGGTAATCTATGATGGTTGCGTTTCTCTACGGTATTGTTGGAATGCTTTACTGTTCTCCTCTTGCTAGTAGGTGACGAACATGTGCAGTCTTCGGCTTTTATTTATTCTTTTTTTCTTCAATACTTTCTACAGAATATACTTTATCACTTTTTTTTTCTGCTGTTTCTAATACGATGATTTCTTTTCTGTGTTCTCTTGTTGTTTACAGAGATGAAGAAGAAATGACGTCATATACTGTTGAAAGAAAAAAGTATTTTCATTGCCAATCTATCTCGTAGATTCACTTGAACTATTGCCGACATATCGGTGATATATCACCGGTCGTAAAGGTTTTCAAATATATCGGTGGTTGCTTTGTTATGGTTCGGCTGAACTAGTAATATCGAATCGAACATTAAGGACACCTTTAATGTTTGATATCACAGGTTCATATTCGATTAAGAATATGTTTTTTTACAGGATAATAATATTTAATATTTTACAAAACTCGTTTTTATTTCAAAGATGCCTCCGCAATATATTTCGATCGGAGCATAGTTTCACCTCCAGTCAGCATTAGCATTTTTTTCTCTTTTTTTCTTTACTCTTAGTATAATTTCTAACGTAATTACTTGGCTTGAGTTGTAATCCTTTTTTGTATAAAGTGATTTGAAACTTTATTTTAAGGCTTCGTGCCGTTGTCAATATAAATCCTATTTATTCTTATTGATGTATTTCAATTGTTATATCTTGGCCATCATATTAAGTATTGACACTAAGCATAGTACTTCATAAATAAAAATCGTTGTCATTTATTCTGAGTTCCAGTCAATAAAACGATGACATGAAAAAAAATAAAAAATTGCTAAATATGTTTACGATTCATAGCATCATAATTCTGACAATGTGCATTTATTCTCAGAGATTTAAGACCACGGATCAGTAGGTTGAATTTCTGATCTTATCGATAAAATATCAAACTGCGCCAGTTCATTACCGGTTTATTGTCAGTATGTCAATGGTGTTAAGTCTCTGCCACTGTAATAGTGCTGGTTAAACTTCAGTATAGTCGACATTATTATCGAATGGTCTATCGGTGGTTTTTCTTCGGTTTTAATCAGATGGAAACTTGGAAAAAATCATCCGTTGTTGATCTCTTCAAATCAAATTTGAACTGTTGTATATATGTCAGTTTTACTGCATGCTTTGATGCTAAAATTTGATTTTCTATGCAATGAGACCTTGGTAAAATTGTCTCGAAACAACAGAGAAGCCAATTAATCTGAGACGATCTTATCAGCAGTGACCAATATTCACTAAGAACGCAAATACCATTCACAACCTTTGCATAATATCTTCATTGAGAGAAGTGAAAACATTTTGTCGATTCTGTTTACTGCGAGCTGCATAGAGTCTTTATTTCGATAATCAGACATGAACAAAAAATCTAAAAATGACTTTTCAAAGTTTCACCAGGAAAATTTTCGATTTAAGTCGCATTTATCGTATACTATTGGAACAATTATGCCTCAAAATTGGCATTCAGTCAAGTAAGTTATATCAACGAGCAAAATTGAGAACCACAATCGATAATTATCACTCGTATGTGACGAGCACAATCAGTCTCGTTCCATTGGTGACTCTATGAAAGATAGGTTTCTGTTTGGATTAAGCGCTTTGAGATGAATAAAAATGGCTGATACGATAATTTCAATTCAATAGCACACTTCAGAACAGAAGGAGCAATCGATCATTGATTCGATTTCAATTTCAACTTCTTCATCTTTACAGAAAACTATTCAACAGTTTTAAAGCCAATCGTCTTACATTAACTTCAAGAAATAAGTTTGTATTGCTTAAGTTTATAGAGCAGATCAAGACTTAGCGTCAACATCGAAACCCCATTCGTATTTAGTTAAAAATTGTGATCGATCTCGTGTATAGCTTGGAAAAATTCTGCGTCTACTAACGACATAATATTAAGAGATTCCAATAGCGAGGCAAATAAGAATTACTTCTTTGACTGTTTTGTAACCGAAAAAAACCAAATGTTGTAATATTATTGAGATGCATCATCCATTCAAGATCGAGAATAGTGGATCATTTTTCACGACTTCTATTCAAACCATTGCAATCTAATCGAAGTCCGATGTTGATGATATGATTACTACGAATATACATCAGATAACAAATGGTTCTGTTTTATTTCAACGAGAGCATTCATTATAACTAGAATCACGTGAATTGGATCAATCACAAACGCAAAAATCTCATTCTATGCTCTTAGTGTAAGGCGGTATTGTGAAAGTCATTCGAAATCGAGAATTTCATGTTATCTTGATATCATTTTACAGAATTTAGAAGTTGTCCATCTAACCTATTACTGTGCAGTTCTAGACATAATTAAAGGACCGACTGCTTGTATTTTGACAATGAATTAGTCATTTAGAAACTGAATTGAACTTTCAAGCAAAATCAATGTAAAAGTTAACACTAACATCTCTGTATTGAATCGCTCAAGTGAACCATTACTAAGAAACCTATGCATGTTTCCGAGTTCGAAAGACACGAAATCCAAATGGAGATAGCAGCCAAATCTGACAGAACTCACCGACAAAAAAACAAGGAAATATGTTCACTGCAAAATGCGTCTTCTAAGACAATTGGTATTCGTTGTGGTCGTTATTTTAATACGCTGTCCTCTGTTGAATTATTCTTCTCACTTCATTGATTTAGTAGAGTGTCGATGTAGTACGTACGCTATTTCTTCATTCTACACACCAGCATCTATATCTTTACATTTTACATGCACACTCCGTACTCTAGTTTCGAATACCATTATCTGATGTCTACGTAGAAGTTATTGTTGCATGCATATACTCTTAAGCTAATTAGAAAAGAATTTCGTCTAGAGGTTCAGATTTTTCCAGGACATATCTTCGATACTACCTGAATCTGTTTTTTTTTTCACTCAATTAGACTCTTCGTGTTCGTTTCGCCGCCGTAGGTAGCCTGAATCTGGCTTATATCAAAACTACTTTTATTCCAATGTTTATAGACAATAGTATATATTCGAAAAACATGTTGAATAAAACTTAAAAAGCATAATACTATATTATTTAGAAAAAAATACACAAGTCACTATAACTATTCGACATTTTTTTATATTTCTTTTCTAACTGACCTATAAGATATCCTGTACTTTCTGACTCGGTACTTTCACTCATTGTTACGTTAAAACTAACAAAATTCATATAGATTATGTAATAATACATTGATAATCACATGTAGATTGAATAATATTATAAATACGTTTATATCAATGGGTTTAATTCGTAAGAGAAATTTTTTGCAATTAGATTAAAAATCCACGATTCTTTTCAGATTTGTGATCATTTTAACGAAACAAACGAATACGAATATCTGTATAATAGAAACAGCTAAGATTTCATATTGACGAGGTATTCGAAATGAGACACCTTTAAGTCACAATTGCTCAAAGATTTTCTCTTGATCATGTGTGTAATAGATCTTTACTGTCCGCGGTAGTATAGTGGTTAGTATCCCCGCCTGTCACGCGGGAAACCGGGGTTCGATTCCCCGCCGCGGAGTAATTTTTTTTATTTGTGGGATCTTATTTTTTAATGACGAAAAACAATGACTTTATGCAATTGCAAATAAATATTAGTGTAGTTTTGTTTATAGTTAGATAAAATATATTTCTAATAAAGTATCTAATATTTTGGTTTGACTATTACACAGCAGCGTGGCGCAGTGGAAGCGTGCTGGGCTCATAACTCAGAGGTCGGTAGATCGAAACTACTCGCTGCTATCTATATATACTTTTTTTTCGTTCTTTTCTGTTTGACAAAATGACGTCAGATGTAATTTAGTTGTGTTCTATTTAAAAAAGTAAGTTGTACGGACGAGAAAATTTTTTATTTTTTGTCGAGAAAAAGTTTTAAGAACATATTTCGTAAAGAACAGACGATCATGAAAGAAGAGAAGAATTAAAGTCTATTCAGTTTAAAAGCTTATCAAAATTAAGTAGAACACGCATGTGACCGTCGTTTTTTTTTGGTACATAAAAAAAAAGAGTTTCGACAATTGCAAAGAATTCAAAACGCTTAAAATGGTTCATCAAGGATATACGAGACTTTTTTAAGCGTTTCGGACTTATGCGCAAAGCCTTCTTCAAGGGCCGTATCACATCATCAAATTAGCCTGACAATTTATGATAAACCAGTTAATGC